ACGCCGTATTTCGCTGACATTGACACACTAAGCTCCGCCGGTTCAACAGACATACGTACAGCGAAGTAAACGGACTGGCTGCTTGGACTGGTTGGACAACTGCTTTCGCTGGCTAAGCTGCCTTACTCAACTTGCAATAACACTCACCCAAACAAGCCTAGCAAGCAACGTCATGTCCATGCATGTATGTGTGCGCTCTCAGCGGAAATTTAAAGTAATACTCAGGAAATTGAAATTGAATTATGTGAATTGTTGTTATGCGTGAGCGTCACCATGACCGACCACGAAACAGCGTTCGTTTTGGAGCAGGAGAAAATATAAAAACTATATTCAAAAATTCATTTTTATAAAAAGCTCAGCAGCTTATCTTTATTGAAGTGCCTTATAGTATACACCATATCTGAGTAAATTGTATCCCACCGGACTAAGCCTACGTAAATCGATGCTTGTTTGGCAACTAAAAAAATTTACGCCTAAAAGTATGTTACCGAAAATTTTTGACAGATAATGTTAAAAATTATGAAGAACTTTAGAGTTTAATCAACACACTTGAAATAAAACTTGTGCACAAGTAACTAAAATCCTCAGGCTGCCTTACAAAATAGTTTACTGCATACTTTTGTGAGTATCATTAATATAATTGTTTAAAACCAGCAATTTTTTTAATTTTCGAACTATAAACAAGTGTAAGCATTTCAGTTATTGTATTTAAAGAATTTACTTGTAAATTTTTCAGTTGTAGCGCCTAAAAGTAGTTAATATATTTTAAAATTATTTGTATGCTGCTATAATGTGTATTTACAACATTAACTATTTACTTCATATGCATCTCACTCAGTGCTAAAAAGCCATTAATTTTTTAACTGCATATAATATTTTGCATAACTTTAGGCGTCAAACACCAAAAACATTTAACTCTTGTGCACAAATTTTGTGATAATTAGCAATATAATCATTTGTATGAACAGAGCACTTATTGTTCATGCACGTGTAACAAAATTAACTAAAAGTTTTGCAAGCAACTCGCAAAAGTATGCAATAAAATTGAACAAAACTGATGTCTTTCAGTTGCAAAGCACACAAGTCATTGCATTCAATTATTATTATAAAGAGCAAAAAAGAAACTAGTTTGAGTTTCACTCGGAAATGCATTGCTTCTGCTACTAAAAGTATGCAATAACTTTTTTATTGCTTGGATTTTACAGTTTTTTAATGACTTCGTTATATTGCAATTTTATTTTATTTTAGTAATATTGTATTTCGGGCATTTAGTAACAAAGTTTTAACACGGGACTGCTTGTTATTAGTTTTTGGAAGCAACTAAAAGTATGTAAGAGAAAAGTTTTCGTATAAATAATATATTCTTTGAGAATTCATGTAAAAATTTGTGAAAATTTAACACTAAATAAACACGAAATTCATGTTAAGAAAAGTGTGGTACACTCATACTTTTTTTGATATAAAATTAAAAAATTGTTTATAAATATAAATTGAATAGTAGATAAACGAACATTTTATTCAAACTACTGTCAAATAAGGCTTTTCTGATTTGTTTAATGGGTTTCTATTACAAAGTTATGTAATTTCGCCTAAAAGTATACAATAAAATATTATATTTCCATATTTTATAAGCTTTTGCTTAAATTACAATTAAGTTTCAAATTTTTAAATAGAAAAATTATTTTTTCAAACTGTAGAATAGTGCATAAATATAAATTTAATGCTTTTATATTTCTTAGTTATGAAATTTCGCCCAAAGGTATGCATTTATATTTTGCTCAATACGTATAAGTTCTCTCGTAAATGACGGTTTCTTTGTAGATAAAGCTTTTTGTAGCCTAAAGGTATGCTTTAAAAATATATATTTTTCGCTTTCCATTACTGAAGTAAAGCTCTTCAATGCAAATTTAACCTACATTTTCCGATGTCAACCGCAGAAAAAGCATATTCTATGACTTCTTAAACTTCCGCCAACACTCTGCGCCAAATTTCAACATTGTCAGCACGGAAGTTATAACAAGCATGTCCATGGTGAAATACGCCACAGAATTGTTGTTGCTTTATTCATAATGTTTATCATTTCTTATACAATTTTTTTCTCATCACTTCTGCATTCGTTAATGGACAGCAAATTATCATTTTGCTCCAGTTGACGAGCGAGAGCAAATGTTCATATATACACATATCTGCAACTAAACACGCACATAGTGAGCGCCTTGAATTATATTTCCTTGCGAATAACCTCACACACATTTACACAGCGTTGCTGGAAATCACTTGAAACCTCAGCGACGGCCAAGGCAACTACTACCGCCACCGCTGCCAAGTGAGAATAGCTGTTTGGTTACAGCGCTTGGCTTGACTGTATAAGTATCCTAAGCATAATGAGTAGACGCCCTTTTGTATGCTTCTTTTCATGCTTAGATGCACATGCGAGTGCGGAGCTCGTGTGTGTGTATGTGTGTGCATGCGCGTGCGTTTGTATAAGTAGGCTAAAATAACATTCACACACATTGAAGCGAGCTCGTGAACAAAAGCGCGCAGAAGGGTCTTTTCTAAAGGACCCCAGCCGCATAAATACTCTTCGTTAGCCTACTTCACGGCATGGCGCGTTTAAGTTGGATGCCCCAGTGCCGCTGTTGGCATTTTCGATTTACTTTTACTTTTATGTGCGTAAGTGCCGCGGAGCAAAACACGCGTACTTATAACATTTATACAAATTATATTAAATAAAATATGTTGAATTGTGGTCGGAGGAGTCTTTGTTCCCATACAATTATCAATGTATGGCTGTGGACTGGCATTTGTTCTAATTTCTTAGCAGCAACCTGTTGTTTGCATTGAACGCTTTTTGAATTGGCTCTTGAAGGGTAACTGCCTGTTAGGATAGTGCGAGCCAACTGTACCGCTGAACGAGCGAGGCAGGAGAGCGTGAATACTTCAAACTTATTTAAAGCATAATTATGGGCGTTTCGGTTATTGCATGGAATTAAGTGAGTTAAACATGGAAAATGTTTGAACTTTCAGAGCAAAATTAAATATAAATTGAACTAAAAAATTATAAAAAAAATTAGGTAATTCAAAAATTTTAATTATGAAAAAATAGTTGATTTAAAAACAAAAATTATCTTAAAAAAAAATAAATAACAAAACAAAAAATTAAACTAAAACTTTATTTAATTAAAGTTTATTATATAATCAATCAATTAACTAAAAAAATAATTTGATTCAATTTTTCTTTTAAATCGAAATAAAAACATAACTTAATAAATTTTGAAAGTTTAAGTGGCTAAGATTTTTCAGTAGCTTATTTGATAAATAAATTTAATAAATACAAAAATTAAATTAAAAGAAATTCAATTGAAAAATTAGTTAAAATAAAAAAATAATAAAATAAAAAATACCTAATTAAAATAACAATTTATTACAAAACAAGACTTAATAAATTAAAAAACTAAATTAATACCTTAAATAATAAAAATTTACAAATAATAAATAAATTAATTTTTAAAAAATTTTCAAATTTTGTTTTTTTTAAATCGAAATAACAAACAATACTACTAAAAAATTGTAACTTAAAATAAAAAAATATTTTAATTAAAATATAATTACAAAACTACTTTGCTAAATTAAACTTTAAACTTAATAAAAAAAAATTAATTATTAAAAAATTAATATGCAAAATTTGCTTCCAAATAGAATCAGAAAATTTCGACATCAGTATTTTTAAGGAAATGTTTAAAATCAGAGCTTTTAAAATGTGTTAAAATTATTAAATTAAAAAACTAAGCTTTTAAAAACTGAACAAATAAATTAACTTGATAAGTTTTACTTTTAAAATCAACGAAACAGCGTCATTCTCAACACTTAAAAATTGAAAACGAAGAAAGCAGATTTCCAATTTAATTTAAAAAAAATGTTTTTGAAAATATTTTAAATATATAGGATGATTTTAAATTTTTGAAAACATATTTGAGTATGGTTAATTGAAAAATGAGGTAATTCAAAATTTTATAAAAAATAATAATGAATCCAAACATTTTATTTATAAATAAATATAATAAAAAAATTAATAATTCATTTTTTAAATATTTCTTCAAGTCCAAAAACTTTCAAAGCTTAAAATTAATTTTTTAATTACATTTTGCAATAAAATTTTGTTTTCAATATTATTTTAATTAATTGGCAAAATATTTTTTTTAAAGATCTGTTGAAAAAGTCTATACAATTAAGTTGCTAAATTTTTTTTAGTTCGAAATGGAAAACTTACTTATCAATATTTAAAATTGGAAAATCAAAAATTAAATTTGTAATTTCATTTTCTAAACGATATTTTTAATACTTTAATTTTTGGGAAGAATTTAAAAAAACTTTTTTTTTAATTTTATATTTATATTTTTTGCAATTTATTATTAAAAGTGTATATTTAAAACAAATTTGTTTCAATATATTGTATAATATTTCAGATTATTTAAATTATTGTAGTTATATATATTTTTTTAAATTTGGTATTATTACTCAAAAACAAACAAATTTTTTTTGAAATATTTTAAATTTTGTATATTTTTAATGCTTTTAATTAGTTTTAAAAAATTAAAATTTATAAAAATAAAATACTTCCTGAAACCCTATTTGCACCCCTACAAATTTAGCAGCGGTTTATAAGCTATATATAAGTTACGATTAAGCCAGATATACTCGTAAGCTATTTTGAAAACATTATCACAATAGTAATTTAAGCGAAAAATATAATTTAAGCCCACTTATAGTTATAACTAACTTCGCATGCATATTTGTATTGAAAATTATTGAATTCCAAAATCCGCTGTTTAGCCCCAAAATACCCAACTATATATAATATTATATAAAATTGAACGCTGTGTAATATCTTTCAGTGTACCCCCTTTAACCATATTATGTCAATTATAAAAAAAAATATATTTAAATTCAAACTATGTTCTCCTCATAATTGTTTGCGAATTTTCTTTTCTTTTTTCCAGTTTATCTGTGTGTAGTAGCCAACCAACTCCAAAAAAAATATATATTAAAAAATATCCACCAAGCTAACTCAAACTATCCACCAACCCATAGAAAACCCACAAATCTAATATTATATCGAACCCTACATGTGTTTGTGTGTATGTGTGTCTTATATGTGAAAAACGGTAGTATTAACTTCTTGTACGTCAACAACAACAACACTATCAACTATACAACAAATCCGAGCAGCAACAGCAATAAAATAAAACTGGCAGCCACAACAAAAGCAGCGTCGACTTACCACAACAAAAGGTATACATATTCAGCTAGTTGGCCACCCAGAAATAAGCGCTTTTCCATTTCCTTTGCATTGCCTTTTTAAATCGCTTGTCGTTTGTTTTGTTGCCACCACAAGTTAAGTGAAATAAATCAGTCAAAATTAGTCCGCGTTGTCAACCGACGTTGCTGTCGCTGTCGCCGTCATCGCCGTTGTCGCCATTATCATCGCCGACACCACAACTATGCGCCATGTCAAAACTTCGACATTACAGGTCCATAGATCAGCCCTGCGCCACGACCAACATACGCAAAAAGTTAGTTAGACAATTTAAATTAGTAATTTTTCTTCCAAATTTTTTTTTGGTATTTTCATAGTTATACTTATTATAGTTATAATTTTGCACTGTACTACACTTGTTAAGCTTTTGTAAATACTTCTAAGTTTTACTATAAATTTTATTCGAAAAAGTTTTTTCTCAAGCTCTTTTGCCTTATTTTCGAAGAAGCGCCTCAAAGCTTTTTGCCTTTTTACACATAAGCTTTCACTACTCTACTTTTAAAATGCTTGCTGTATATACATTTCTGCGCTTTGTTTGACTTCGTTCGTCTTCGACTTCTCTCTCTAATTTTATATTATAACTCGTGTACTATAAAATTTGAACACCAATCAATATTTTTTATGTATTATATTATGGTATAATTTTATTTCTTAGCTTAGTTTTATCAAACTTTATGCTCATAGTAAAAAATCTCTTGCTATCAATTTATTTTCTTAAGAGCTTTTAATTATAATTAGAATTTCAGCTTGCTATAAACTTTACTATAGAATTATATTTTAGGTTCTGCAGAACGGTGAAAAGTTTATTGTAGTTTGTGTGCTTTACTTACAATTTTCGCAACATTGATGTCATGAATTGAAACTTTTTTGGTTGTGAACTTGGCTAAAACAAACTATTATCTGAGTTCTATACCACCATTGTAACGAAATGCCTTTGTATGAAAATTAGTCGGAACCTAGGAAAAGTTCGTTAATAATTTAGAGGGTTTCGCCGTCCTTAGAAAATATTACAGCCTATAGAGCCAGTGGCATCTATTTACGTTTCCAAATGCTTTAGTCGCCTAAGTGGAATAAAATATTAGTAAAAGTAGAGTAAACAAGAAAGCACGCAAACTTCAACTTCACCGAAGCTATAATACCCTCCACAAGTGTTTTTTTTATAGCATAGAAGTGAAGAAAAACATCTTTATATTTATATATACAAACGGACTTGGCAAAGTCAAACCACAGCTGTTTAAGGTATGAGTTATAAAAGGAAGTAATATTAAGGATGATTATATTGGAGTACAAATCTTTGATTCAAAGCGGCTTAAAGAGCACTAAATATACGAATATGAATACGTGCTCTTATATGAAAAAGTTGGAATCTTAATGTACGTATCTTTTTATGCTTGAAAGCAGATACCTTAAGCACTTAAAAGTTCCATACGAAATTCAAAAGGAATTTAATTTACGGACAGTTAGAAGACGCTAAAGCTTTTATATAATGAAAATTATACAAAATGACTTTCGCTAATACACTGGCAGTTATATAGTTTTAGGCGACTACTGAGCCTTTTTAAGCTTTCAAAAACGTGTACATGATTATATTTATACATTTCTTTTAGCAAATATATATTTAGTCTTTCTTATTATTTCCATTTCTTACTTCAATTTTCTAATAAATTTATTCGAATATAAAACATAAAATTAATGTTTGCTGAAATAAAATATTTTTTCAAATTTTTTGTTCCTTTTACATAAATAAGTTAGATGTTTGCTACTTATTTAACAATTTTCGATCCCAAATATTAAACTTCAAATTAATTTTTTAATATTCAAATATTTTTTTTTAATTTATATAATTTTTTTCAGACTTACCATACTCATATAAAAGGCATGGGTTGCATTTTAAAACTTTTTCCTAAAATAAAGAAGAAAAAAATTTAGACTAAAAAAAGTTCATATTTATAGAACTAAACATTTTAAAAATTGCATGTCTTAAACTTTTTTGTTCGTTTTAGAATATTACTCTAAACTTATATGCTCTTCAAAATATTTTGCTATTTTCTATCTTTATATATTTACACTCAACCACACATGCACATACCAATGACACTTCATTGAAATTATGCATCTCTCGCTATTGTTACCATTTCAGGACGATGACAGCGATATGCTTTGTCTGCAACCTGCCCATTTTGTCTCACCAGGTGGGCCTGGTGTGGCAGGGTGGAAACGGCTGGGACGATATGGTCAGAGAGCAGGTGAGTTATAATAGACAACAATATACAATTATTTACAATTCTCTTTAAATTTGCTTCACTCTCCCACTTTTAGTTGGAGGAATCAACCATACGACAGCGTTTGGGTGGTCGACGCGACTCGGCAGCACAGATAACCACGCCCCCTAGTACATCACCGCCACCAGGTGAGCTTTTATACCGTACAAGACTTTCAATATCCACCAACTTTTTCATTGTTCCTATACCTCGACACAGGTCTACAGCGTCGTCGGCGCAGCTCACTTGCTCAGCTCACCGATATTCTGCGCGAATGGAGCGGTGGTGGCGCTGCCAAGCAGCAAACACAAAGTCAACGTCAGAAGGCGCAACTCAATCGTCGCGAAACCTTAGCTGACCTAGCGCGCAGCCTACCATGGCGCACCTCCACCACCGATGCGTCGACTGGCCCTGGTGGCGGTACCACTTATATAACCCCACGCAAACGTCGCGAGTCTAGCGCCGACTCGGGTATACGCAGCATGCGTTCACGTCGTGACTCGAACACAACCGAATTTGTGAAACATTGGAATCGACGTGAGAGCACTGCCGCCGAGGAGCCCACCGTAGTGGTGCCGGTTGTCGTTGAGGGTCCTGGACGTAGCGTAAGTGTTTTCATTCTATGCGCTTTCTTTGCAGACTTTGCTCTTTTCCTCAGCTTTCGTGCTAACCTTTATACTGCATCCTAATTTCGCACTGTCTCTTCCTCTTTCCATTTAACTCACTTTTCCTACCCATCTACCATTTGTTGTGTTGGTATTACCTTGTGCAAACGCCTAATTGCAGAGTTCGCGTCGCGGCTCGGGTGAAAGTTATCTCTCGAGTCGTCGCGACAGCAACATTGGCCGTGCCACTACTCCGCCTCCGCCACCAAAGATCGGCGGCAATACAGCCAAGAAACGTGATTCGTTGGCTGCACCCGATTTTCCCAACTTCCGTCAAGAGCAACGTCCTTCAACTAGTTCAGGTGGCTCTGATTCAGTACCGTTAATATCTACTACCAACTATAATCAGGTCGATTCCGCTTGTCAAGCACTACCGCCACCAACAATCATTACCAGCTCAGTGACACCGCCGGCCACTAGTCCCACCGCACCGTTGAAGGGACGTCGCGACTCGACTACGCAGTGTGGACGCGTTAATCGTCGTGATTCTAAAGCCGGTATATCACCGGAACGTGCGCCACGCTTGCAACGTCTACAACGGCAAGCAACTGCTTTCGACGAGAGCTGCCTGCCTGGCGGCAGTCGACGTGGCTCACAGCCGGCGCTTAGCCCCGATCCGCCGGAGGATTGCCCGGGTGCGCGCACGTCGCGTCGTGATTCGCTTAGTCCGGACAGTGCATCACGTGGCGGACGACGTGACTCACGCGCACATCTCTCACCCGATCGCAGTCATGATCGCGACGGCAGTCCACGGCGGCAGACGCTGCGACGACAGAGCTCGTCGGCTGCGCGCAGCTCACGTTCTCCCGATTCGAATAGCTGTTGCTCGTCGCGTGATCCAAGTCCTTGCTCACGACCACCACCATTGGTGTCGGCGGAGACGAGCTCGCGACCGGCAATTAGAAGACAATCGACCACTGAAGAAATTTTGATAGCACGTGGCTTTCGTCGACAATCGACTACAGAGGAGATGATACGTTGCAGAAACTTTCGGCGTCAGAGCTCGCAAAGCGATGATGTGTGTCGGTGAGTAATGAAAATTACCATATATAAAGCTGAGATTTTACTGTATAAACCCAATAATTTTTTTACAGCTATCGTGGTCGTCGTGACTCAAGTGCACAAATCATTGACGGCACGATCGGCACAATGACAGTTGAGACAACCAGCACTTTCTTCGACTCGAGCACTCAGACCGGTGAGTACACATTTAATATTTGAAACATAGGCATATGAATTTATATTTGAAGAAAGCAATGGAAAGAATATGCTTTGTATTGCAGGTCGATCAAAACCGATTGTTACTATTTTGTTAAGTTTCAGGGTTTTGAAAATAGGCAGTACAGTGAAGGCTCGGCCACTCAAAGTATACAAATACGATTAAGGTGGCTGTAGCTTGCTCTTAGATCTTCCACGGCAGCTATCAAAATTTACTTTACAAAAAGCTCATAAAAGCTCCTTGAATAACTATAAATTCATTTCAAAAACTTAGTTCAGATCAGGTCTGACATGGCAAACAAAAGCCACATGCAGATTCTCATCAAAAAGAATTTTGCTCAACTCATTTTTTTATGAGAGAGAAAAGCAAAATTTTGTTTTCCAAAACCTCTTAAGCACACATCAAACATCCGAACCCTTAATTATGTCAACCGAACAAACAATGAGTTTAAGACTTTACATGATATCTAGGTCCTTCCAGGACTACATCTTCAACCACATCTCATTAAGACTAAGTTGTTATTAGTTTTATAAGCTTTACGATTAACCAAATTACAGTTTTCAGTTCTACTCAAGACTGGTCTGACATAATGATCTAACTTTCAGATTCTTATTAAAACGAATTCTACTCAACTGATTTTGTAAGAGATAGAACCAAGTTAACGTTTTGTTGCGAAAGCTCGTGAGCTCGAGTCAAACATTCGCTAACTTTTTTCCGCCGAGAAATCAATAAGCTCCAAGCTTCAAGTGGGTTCTGGCTCTCTCTAAAAATCAAAAGACATAAACTGAGTCAGCTTTTTGGCAAGAAACTAAAATTTTTCCTCGAGTTTAAAGTCGCTGAATGGTCTTCAGTACCGAATTACCACTGATCAAGTAAAGTAAACGTGAGATTTGATTCCGTAGAACTCTACAGACAGTTATGGATGAACTTTGAGTTATGTAGAGTCCTCGATGTACCTTCTGATTAGACCGGAAGCTTCTCCTTGGCTCTAAATAAATGTTCCAGATGCGGCAGCGAGTCCAATTCTATCCTTCATTGGTTACTTCGCAACTTTGTCCCTTTTCCAACTTCCTCCTCTTCGGTTGGTAAAGCTATCTCCTACTGCTCACCATATACCCTAAAGATATATATTAAAAAGTATTAAGATGAAAAAGGTATGTCTTTGCTACACTGTTGTACACTCAAAACACGACCAAATGCATGAGAGGAGACATATCATGCAACATAAGTAAAACAACATTTGCAATGTTAAGTTTTATACAAAAGCAATAAAACTGTTGCAAGCTTAAAACTGCAATATGCATAAATTTTCTCTCCGCTCAATTCTCGCATACACCTGCCACGTGCCACAAGCCTTTCCAATGATTTGTACATTTGCTGTGGCAAGTTGTTGAACGTATTAAGTGAAGTGCGCTGCTCATTCCTTGCGCATTTGGTACATGCAACAAAGCATTGCAAATGGTAATGTACGCTTCAGCAGCAATGAGTGTCAATATTAATTGCTCTGTTGCAAAGTGGTAAGCTGTTAATTAACGCTTTGCTTGCTTGTTTATTGTAGCAGCAATAAAGGCGCTTATTGCAGTTATATTACCTTTTTCATGTGTGTTTGTGTATTTCTCTGTGTGTGTGTGTAAGAGAAAATTCCTGGATCGTAACTGTTTGTTTGCATTGTAAATTGTGCATGCCACATAAGAGTTTTTCACACGCTTTAAACGCAATATGTAGGTGATTATGTTTTGCTGTAGATTTATTGGTGTTATAATGTTGCTGCAACATGTTGCTCAGTATTGATGAATACAATACAGGCGGTTGGTAACAAACACACTAAAAATTTCAACTTCAGCTGTATCGATGCCCCATTCACAAATAAAAAATAGTTGATATTGAACGATCAGTTTGTATGGCAGCTATATGCTATAGTGGAACGATTTAGACAATTCTTTCGGGCATTGAGTGGATGAGAGCAGTGAGATTTTTATAGGCTGAGAATTGGCAGCTGATACCAGACCGAGAGAATAGCTTATGAACTCTGCACTTAAGTCTTTTTAAAAATATCAATTGAAACTGATGATCCTCAAAAGATTGATAGAAATAGTAAACATATTATCGAAAATTATTCTCTCTTTCTCTATTTCGAAAATTTTTCATGGTAAATTCGACCATGCGTCGGTTTTACAGAATTTTTGTCCAGTTTGTTTCCAGTCGACTCTTGGAGATGCAAGCTTTTCGGAATCGTAAAAGAATCAATTTTACTAACGTTGCCGATGCGGAGATAATATTAAATAGTATTTGATACAGTTCAAGCTATTTCGTTTTCGAAAAATGATTTGTGACAACAGAGCTTCTTCTCTTTACTACCCGAAGATATGTTATGATTACTCTGCAGATATATCCCATAATGGGTTTTCAATTCAACCGTCAATCACTTTTTTGTGCGAAAAAGACTTTTACTTACAAAATTTTCGTAATTAGAGGATCATTTGAGATTAGTGAGATGCAGCTAATAGTTTGTGATCACTCTAAAAACCTTTTTTGAAAATCTGTATAAGATGATTCGTTCTTAATATCATTAGAAATTTGTAAGACTTCTTTTTGATATATAAGAAGAAGAAAACACGACTCTGAAAAGGTATAAAATCTTATCGAAGGTTAAAGTAAAATATAATTTATATGCAAATTCGTAAAAAATGACAGAAGTTGAAATCTTGCTTCAAAAAACATTATTACAATTCTATACATACTTTCGTATACAACTTTATGGCTAAGAGTATAGTAAGATTTGTGGAGCTTTCAAGGTTTTAAAGTTTTTAGATTTGTAAAGCTTTTTCCTAAGCTTTCACAGAGTGACAATTATTTACAGAAAACTATAGAAACATTTATTTTTTACGATAAAAACTACAACAAGCTGTCAATAATTGCATTTAAGCTTTGAGCTTGTTTATGGTAGCTTTGACTTTTCCACACCTGTACAAATATTTTTTGCCTCTGAGTTTACTAATAGAAAAATAGTGCTTAAAAAAGCGCGCGCGCACCCAATACAACAATAAACTGTATGTTTACCAAGAGAAAGGCAGCGAGCAAATGTCATATGAAGAACAAAATGGGAGGAGTGCGTAACAAAAAGAGAATGGTGTGGGGTGGTAGAATAAATATTGATGTACAACTGAAAGAGTATGCTTTTTGGTTGAACGGGTTTTAAAATATTAATGGCGCATATGATAGCAGCAGCTGATAGCATGAAGGTGAGCAGGAGTAAGCACAGGTATGCTGCTCAAATAATAAATAAATTGAGAGCGCCAAACACAGTCAACTAATAGCAATGGAATATGCTCTCTGTATGTGTGAGAGCGATAAGCGCGGTACTGCGCGCTGCAATGACAGTTAGAAGGCTCGTCACTGACATTTAACTGTCGAAAATATATTAGCGTGTTTGAAAATTGACATTTGTGGAGAGAATTGCTGTGCGCGCTCTTATTGTGTTGACAGTTGAGCGCGCAGACGATGACAAGTGAAAGCGTGTAGGCGTCGACTACACATGCATTGTATGAGTTGCCCGCCGCTGCGCTGCGCTTGTGTACATGTGTTAGTGCAGCGCACACGTACACGTATTTGTTTACATGTGTGCGCGTGTCCTTCCCAAGCGCAGCAAGCACATTTTGTTGTTGCCTTTTGAATCTCCATTGTGGTTGACGCTGACGTTGCCGTTCAGCAGTGTTGTTGCCTGCGTTGTTGCAAGCGCCGCTGCTGCTGGCTTTCAACTTTGCTGCTTTTGTGTTGGCTGCTCTTGGCACCATTAACACACTTTCCTGTAACCGCGCAAGGATTCCGAATTTTAGTTTATGTTGAAAACGCGAACGCGACGCGTCGGTGGCGCATACAACGGTAGAAAGTGAAAACTCTAAGCCAAGCAATTGAGTTTCTGGCACAGAGTACACAAATGAAAAATTGCAAGAAATTGTTTAAAATTTTATAATAAACAAAAAAATGTTTAAGTCACCATTTACAGTTAAATTTGCCACGAATTGTTATTGAATAGTGACTTGCAACAACAAGCGCGTGCACAGTAAGCGCTACATATGGGCGCCAAAAGCAGTGGCGAGCACGCCTTAAAGTATATAACACTTCGCATGCTCTTAGCCAAAGTTTATTAAGTGTGATTTTTGTTTTTTGTTGTTGGCGCCACTTATTGTTGCAAGGTGTGCGCTGGCACCTGTGACGTCCATGCATAGCAGCAGTAGCAGCAACAGCGCTGCCGCTAACAACATGCTGCCGCAAGCAGCTGAAAAGTGCGAAAAATCATTGTGCACGCCTGAAAGTATGCAGCGCACAGGTAATACACATAAGAATGAGCGTAAAAGTGTAAACTGCGGTTATTATAAAATATTTTGTGCAAAAAATTGCGTAAATTGTGCAAAAATTATTTTAAAAAATTAACTAAAAGCGTGACTGTGTAAGCGTAAGTGAGCGCGCTAGCTAGCAGCGGCGCTGCAAAAAGGTTTTTGTGGCTGTGTGTGTATTGTTGAATGACAATATTTGTATATAGCTGCCAATGGCGTTGTATATAGTTTGCATTTTGTACAAAAAAATACAGCAGATATACAAAGGCGACCAAAGCTGTAGTCTACCTTAAGGTGCAACACGCCCACGCGTTGTTTCTTCATGAAAAACAGACTTGTAAATAATAAAAATAATAAAAAGTGGCAGTGATAGCCCAAAATATTTATTTAGTGTGCAAAATATTTGTACATGCAACAAAAGCGCACAAAAATTAATTTCATAAAAGCGAAATAGAGAGAGTGAAGTTCTTTTAGATGCTAAATCTATAAATTTTTAGCAAATAATTTATATTTGAACAAACATTTGAGCGCTAAACCCACAAAAACGCTAATGATTTTGTAAAAACAAAAAGTTTGTTTAAAGCAGTGAATGCGCGCTAGTTTACCAACAAGAATAATGTACCGCCCATTAAAGGTGAGCCA